TATATGGCAGGAGGTGAGAGTATGTTACAAATGGCCAGGGAAACAGCAAACAAAGGTGGAGAAAAATGTACTTTGGTCCAGCAGGGAAATGTACGTATCTTCCCAGTAATCTACCTCAGGGACACAGGTAAACACTTGAGTGTATACCAAGAATAGCTCCTTCCATTAGAGATTGTAGGATATACAGTATACAACATTTCCCCAGAAAACAATCAGCTGCAGAATAGAAGATTAAATCTGACAAAGAGGCATGTTTTCATTATGAAAGAATCTGTTGGGATGAATACAATATCTTACAAGTATGTTTACAGACAAACAGGACAGGAAACCTCTTTTCAGATGGATATATTTTTTTTCATTATACAACATATTTTACAGTTATTAATGAAAATAATTAATCCTACAACTGAGACAAAGGCTTATTGTTTTCTTAATATCCTTTTGTCTGAATAACTGCCCAAAACTGAACACTTTTCATAATCCAGGATTGAAAACAAAACAGCAGGTTACAGAGCACCAGAGGAATTTTTTAGGATTTTATTTGGCATTAAGGGGCTGTTTCACAAAAGAATTGCACAGCCTTTGCACCTGCTAAACCTATGTCAATATTTAAAAACCTGCATATCACACCCATACTGTCCAGTGATCAAGAAAATAATTCCACCTCTGTAATAAATTATCTGAATAGGAAGTCTGTAAATTCTACTTTGACATTACTATAATTATTTTTACCATAAGGGATAAATCAGTCATGGGCTGTCAGCGGCTCAACACTTCATCCACATGTGTGGAGACGGTCTGGAGCTGTTAAGACGAAGATGTAAGATGCTCTTGCTTGCTCTACTCATGAATGAAGCTTTGTTTTAAATATGTAACCGTTTTCAAGTCTGGCATCAAAAGGAAGTTGAAAAGTTTCCCTTACTTTCCTCATCATCTTACTGTGACCTAAAAATTGTGATGCTTGTTGAATAAGACCTTGATACGGAGACAGCAGGAGCAAATAATAGGCAGTTTCTGGAGCTTTAGAGGCCTCAATCCACTCTTAGCGAATCAGGCCCTAAGTATCTTACCTGCATTGACCTGCACGATTATTCAAACACACTACAAATCATTAATCACACCCCAGCATTGTTATTAAAGTTACAGGAAAAGCCAGTTAACATGGTTTACTTTTCAGAAAAAGAGGGATTTGGGTTCAGACACATTTTTGAACTAAATCGTTTATATAAAAACATTTGTTTCTGCAAAAGAATCCCAGCGCCATCGTCCTAAAATGCACAATGCATTGATCTCTGCAAAAATGCAAAAAATCCCTAGAAGCCCTTTCTGTCTGTTTCACATCCTACTTGTAACAACTGTTTGTACCTATAGAATGCATTATTCATCGAAAATCAGCACAAACATATACAGTATGTGTTGAATTAAAAATAAAGAGTACGTTTATTTTCTCAAGTCTTTGAAACGATGTGAAACACATCTCACTAAAACAGAATTATGTTTTTTCCAGCTTCGCCTTTGCTGTGTCATTTAGTATTTATTGTAACAAGAACGGTATATAACATAAACTAAAGTGTCCATATTTGTTTCAATGAGGGCACTTATCACGCAGTGCAACACTGAGACTCAGTGATTTCTTTGAATATAAGTGAAGGTCAATCTTTTTAGAGGCTTTGTATGAACAGAACTGAGAATAAGAGCACGTAGATAGAAGATCACACTTTAACTTTGACAATTTGGGGTTATTATAGATCGCCCATCACATGACTACTTCTGCAGCAAAGCATACACCTGCTTAGACTCGGAGGATTAAGGGATACACATCTGTATTTGTTTGCATCAGAGTCACAAACATAAAGTCTGGTAATCTGACATCTGCAGGTCTGTGATTTAGTTTGACACTTCCAGTCATACACTGGTTGTTTGTGGTTAAGAGGCCAATATATAAAAATGGCCCGGAGACAGTGAGCTCAAGCCCACCCCTGCTTTGACGTGACACCCACTGATTCACACTAATGACAAACTGGCTCCTCTCTTCCAGATACACAGCTTCCTGGGATTGACTCGAGTTTTGGCCTTGCTCATCTCCAACCCTTATCTTGTTAGAGACAATTGAAAAAGGCAATTACCTGCAGATGCAGCATTGTGTCTGACAAATAAAGTAATGTAGCAGAGGACAACTGGCAAATGCTCTCTTTGTCATTCCCTCTAAGAGGCCCCTTTTTATAGCGCTACACTCATTTCGCAACATTTATAACAACGTCTCCTCCGACTATTGTGACTGCCTTGCCCACACTGCAGACCCTAACCAACAGTCGCCCTTCAACTTTTTGTAAAAAGATCTGAACGAAGCCTTCCTTCAGCATCCATCACAAGGAGAGCAAATTTGAAACGGAGCATTTTCTCTGTGTTGTAAGACTTGTGAAGATTACAAACAAAGGACTGGATGGGTTTATTTAACATTTTGTGGGTCAGTAGACACTCAGGTTACCTAAATATATGTTCAAAAACACTGTAAAAGTGGACTTTTCATAATATGTCCTCTTTTAAAAAGCCTTACATTTGTATGTCCAAGGAGATCAAATATCCTGTTTTCATACAAAAAGTCCCTTAGCCAAAGAACTTCCGATTCATTCTACTCTTGTGCATAAATACCTTGATAGCTTAAAATTCTTGTATTCCAGAAGCTTCGGTATTTACATAACTTTAATGTCATGGTTTGCATAAGGATTATTTCTTAAGTATAGTGTCAATTTCAATTAAATTGGACATTGTTTTTACAAGACAAGTCCTGAACAAGATGAATGAATTGATATTCACTGTTTGAATGACAAAGACAAAATTCAGCTCAATTATCAGTAAAGCAAAACAATCTCAGAGAGATTTCTGCAGAGCTTAGAAACAAAAAGTGAAAGATCTACAATGGTTTACAACGGCTGGGGCTTAGCACCTAATTTATTGTAAAGCGCCCCTTTAATATGTTGCTTTGAAAGTGTAGAAACAAAGTGCTGAAGACGACAGACTTGGATAATAGTTGTACCAATCAAAAACCTCATTACAGTAACAAATCTATCTAAAATAAGACACACAGCTGAAGTGCGCGACAGAGAACAGACCAGCTAAGATTGTGCTCAGTTTTTTGTTGCTGCATGTGGAGCAGTTGATTAAAAAGATAATTGAATTCGGAAGCAAGATTTAACAAGGGACTAGCTTGTCTTGTTGGATAGTTCTCAGTATAAAATCGGAGAGGAATTTACATGAGTGTTCATGTAAATATTTAATCATCAGACGATGCAACTGACATTAAGAGTGATGGCCGTGCTCTCTTGAGAAATTAACTTACCTGTAACACACAACAACATTGCATTAACTTACACGTGTCCAAATTAACATCACTTCCACCTCAGTAGGTTTCAAGATGAAGACAAGGATGCAAATCTAATTTAGCTGCCTCTCCTGAGCACAACAAGGCCCGCACATTTCATTTGTTTCAAGAGTTTGAGAATCCCTTTGAGGTAAAGTTTCCTTCATCACACCAGCCCTACTTCTATCTAATTGTGTTTATGACTCAAATGTTGTTGCTGAACGTAAGCATGCATGCACCTTCACTCCTGTTCCTCTTGATGATATTTTAACAACTGTCTCCTCAATACGGGCAGAAAAAAATCACTTGATGCAACTTTTTTAGAATTCTTTTTAAGCATGACACCCTTCAAACAGGATAATTATCTTTGGCGAGGCGCCAGTAAGCCGTAGGAGTGCTTTGAAGACATTCCTAAGAGGATATAAATAGTGCACCCCATGCAGACAATAAGCTGATATGGAGCTGGTCAGCCGTCTTCTCACTAACCCTAGTTTTCCCACAGAAGCACAGGGCTTCGGGTGCAAGCTCCATCATATATTTTCGACCTTTCACATACACTGTATGTCCCAGATGCTTCATTGTCTGACCGCAGTCTGAGGCTGTATGGAAAAAAAGTTTAGTTCATATATGTATATCCCTTCAATCTAACCACAACATATGCCATTTAAATTAAGATGATTTTGAAACCACAATACCTTAATTTCCACAAATGATGAAGCTTTATAAAGCAGAGGATTACAGCCTGAAGCTTAGTCACTATATGTAAAGATGTTTCAATGAATCATGAAGATTTGAAGCTGCTGGAAGTCCAGCTTTACTAGCAATAACTGTGCGCAGAGATTTTATTTTTAAGACCGAGGAGGCAGGAATATTCTATTTTTGTGTCACATGTGAGCATCCTCCCGCTTTCTCAGGTTTCTCACATAGTTTGTCAAGTCCAGTTCACTTTTTTTCTCACATTGTCTTAAAAAACAAACAAAAAAAATGCTTTAGAATTAGGATTTTTGTTCAATATAATGGTGTAATATTGCTAGGAAATAACCCACAAATGATCTCTGTCCCATAACACTAAATCCAGGTTATATAGCAGGATTGTGATGTCGCAAGGTTTAAATATTTACTGAGGTGTTGAAATGAAAAACACAGATTTATCCAGCAGATTTAGCACACTCAGCCCTCAGCTTTGCCATTGTTCTGCAGTGAGCTGGTGAGATGTTTTGGTTGGGTTGCGAGATAAAACTCTTACGTAAATTTGGGGGTTCAGCGATAAGAAGGGAGCCTTGCTGCAGCTTTCACTGCAGCATGTAAACAGATCAATCTGAATTACCTGTGATAATGCCTCATATTTCAACCACATGGTGATAAAGCCTCTTTAAATCATTCCAAGAATTAATTTAACTTTCTTCCATGACCAACACACACACACAAATGCACACACACACACACACACACACACACACACACACGCACACACACACACACACACACACACACACACACACACACACACACACACACACACAAATGCACACACACACACACGCACACACACACACACACACACACACACAAATGCACGCACACATGCGCACACACACATACAAACACTTACTCACTCACGGCCTCTTACTTGCTTTCTTATCCCTCTGCTCATATCTTATAGATGAAGCGGATCAATCTTCTTTATATCCCAACACAAAACACCCACTTTGAACCAGCCTCCACCACGGGAAGCCAGCCACATTCAATTTCACTCTGGAGTAGCTTTTTTCCCTCTGCTTGCTGCAGAATAAAATATTAGTCCAGTCCATTACAGGGATTTCTTGTTCATAGGATCAGGTTTGCAGGACACATTATACACTGACCTATATATTGTAACTTTTATATCTCAAGTTGCACAACTGTTTCCATTTTTTTTTTTTTTATCTAAGACCATATTTGCATCACCTAAAAAGGAAAATGATTTGTCTTTTTTGTTTTGCTCAAATTTACAATTTATTCATAGACTTTTTAATGTATTTTTACACAACACTGCTTTTTTCCCCATACAACAGTAGTTAAAGTCAAATGTTTTTTTGAAGGGAAAACAGTCAGCCATGAAATGAGTTCCAATAGTTCCTTCCTTCTCAGCACAGCTGAGTGAATGAGGCCAAACTAAATATCAGTCCAAGGAACCCTCTTCGGGTTTATGTGCGTTTTGAAGTCCTGCATATGATTTTTTTGAATGCTTTCCTGAAATCCCTGTTGAAAATAGTGTAAATGATTGGATTCACAGAGCTGTTGCAGTATCCAATCCAAAAAAAGAGGTTAAAAAGTGCCCCAGGGATGTAGCAGCTGTCTCTGCAGATAGCATGTAGGCTATAGGTGAAGAAAAAAGGGAACCAGCAGAGTACAAACACCCCCATTACTACAGCCAGGACGAAAGTGAAACGTTTCTCCCGCATCTGGGCCACTTTAGTTTTGTTGGCTGCTGCCAACTGTTGCCTCCGAGCCTGGTTCTTCTGCTCCGGGTAGAGCTGTAACGCCCGGGCTGAAGCCCAAGAGAGGCGGCAGTTCTGGGGAGGGCAGCAGTCCGATCCTTCCACTTTTCTCCTCTTGGTGAAGCGGTGATTGCGTGGTTTGGTATCCGACGCGCAGCAGCTCTCCTCCAGGTCGATGTCATCCAACTCACCTTGCCTCGGATGGTTGCTGCCGGAACTCTGGCTGCTGGGGCTCTCCATCTCGAACCGGTCCTGTTTCGGGACGAAGCAGGTCTCTGACTGAGACGGCTGTCTTTCCAGTCCGTTTTTAGCCACGAACACGGTGGAGGAGCGCTGCTTGGCCACCTTATATATCTTGCAGTAAACCAGAATCATGATAAGACCCGGAGCAAAGAAGGACACCAAGCAGGAGGAGAGTATGTACCAGGTCTCATCGTTCAACAAACACTCCCGCTCGGCGTGTTTGGTCATGAGGAGAGGAGGGAAGGATATGACAGCAGATATTATCCACACTATGGCGATCATGGACTTAATGCGCTTAGGTGTCCGCTTCAGGTTGTAACTGACCGCCTTAGTCACAGACCAGTAGCGGTCCAGGCTGATAGCGCACAGGTGCACTATGGAGGAGGTGCAGAACAAGACGTCCAGGGCCAAATAAAAAGCGCACCAAGTACTCCCAAAGTACCAGTATCCCATGACCTCATTGGCGAGCGAGAATGGGATGACCAGCGTGGCCACCAGGATGTCCGCTGAAGCCAGGGAGACCAGGAAAAGGTTCTGGGGCGGACGGAGAGCCCGGCTGGTCAGCACCGCTACAATCACCAACACGTTACCCACAATAGTCACCAGAATTATCACAGAAACAACCACGATGATGAGCGCAGTGGCTGAAATCGTATGTGGAAATGCAAACGCTGCGTCCGTGGTGTTCTCATCGTTGGAGACGTTTTCCACCGACCGATTATAGTGGGTTAAATCCATTCCGGCTCAATTTTGTTATTTCGTATCATGTTGGTTCTTTCGCACCCTGTTCTGTCCCAAAACAGCTAACCCCGGGTGCGCTGATCTGGTTTCCACTAACGCGCAGAGGTATTTCGTGCGTAACGCTCAAGATCAGTACCATTAGAGTCAAACCCACATAAGGCACCGTACCTGTATGAACGAATCGCCCCAAATAGGAAGCCCGTCATTGTGATGGGTGCTTCAGATTTCCCCGACGGGCAAATGGAGTTTCGTAAATATCACAGCAGAGTTTACAATCCAATGCTCCACGAGTGAAGTCGCTCCACTGCGGTCACATAGTCGTGCGTAAAGCTGTGTATGCGTTTTGGGAAAGCGATGCTCGCTGTGGGTGGAATGAACGCCCGTGCAGGAGTGAGGTGACATCACTCCGAGGACCAGCCCATCTCTAAACTTAAGGAGAGAGAGAAAAAGAGAGAGTAGGACTCCAGGAGATACAGGGAGGGAGAGAGAGTGTGTGTGTGTGTGTGTCTGTGTGCATGAGAGAGTGACAGGGAGGCAAGTATTTAGACTGTTGGGTTTAAGATTTCTTGGAAAAGGGATGTTTTCCCTTCAGACAAGGCCTTTGGTTGTTGTGTTTTATATCACTCCCACACTGTTGTTTCTTTATGTTTCTTGCTTAACTTTTCTTAGCATTATGTCTCAGCATGTGGAGCAGGAAAAAAAACACTGAAATATCCTTTGCTTTCCAAACTATTTTAAATCATATTTTGAAACATTTTAAGGGTGGTAGTCATTTTTAATATGACAGGGCCATCAAAAGTCACTGATGGTTGAGATGGAAAACAGCACAGCAGGAGTTTTCTCTGAACTTTATCAGCCTGCGGGGACACCAATTAGTTGGCCATGGCTTTTAAAGGGGAAAAAGGCCTTCGGGAAACACTGACTGCCTGGTAAAAATAAGACACGTTTATTGCCACATTTTTCATGTCCGCTTCTCTGAATGTGCTTTTGTGCAGCCATTCTCTTTTCCATTATTCATGCACAGTTATCTGGCATTGTTGTATGCTGGCGTGGAGTGGACCAGAACAAAACCTTTTGCTGAGGGGCTTGAATCACTTCGGAGGTCTAGTTAACATATGCAGCGGCAGCTATAGCACCAGTTAGAAGTGAGTGATACAAAAGATGTACCCACACACACACACACACACACACATACAGACCAACACCACTGCCACAGTCAGGGGTCATTGAAATAACATTGCCATGGAGTAGACAGACTGGAGCTCGGCTCACCAGATGCTCTGTACTAATTTTTTTATTTTTTTTATTTAATCTATTTGTAAAGTAAATTGCATCTGCTGGAAGCCTGTCAATTTAGGGATTTGCAGTCCAGCTAGCTCTTTGATAGATGCCAACATTGATGTTGGTGTATGTGTGTTGCAACAGTGTTTATCCTTGAAAGTGAGTTGTCTGGAGGCTCAGCGAGAACATCCTGCAGTGAGACGAAACATAGAAGTAGATTTGGAGGAGGATGTGGAGGAGGATTCAGACAGCCTATCACGCTTCCTTCTCTGTTCCCTCGCTCCCTCTCCAGCAATGAGCTCACTCCCATGGTGAGCATTAAAAATAGTGAAGATTATCTAAAGGGTGACTGTCACCATGTATCAGTGGTTTGTAGACCTTCCCTTATGGGTCTACCTGCTGCACAAAAACAGAAAAACAACACTGACCTCAGAAAGCATCATTCTCCAAAACATACATCCTTACAGTATACAAGCAGACAAAAACAGGCTTTTGTTGTGTCTGTCTGTGTTTGCAGAGCCCGAGGGGGCTCCAATGAATTGCATATAATTATTACAAATGAGCTTGTCTTGTTATGCAATCATTTGATGGAGGATGCAATTACATGCATTTCTGTTTTATTGTTTTTCAAACTATTAGAGGGTCATACAATGCTTTCTACACCTGTTACTTTTACCTTGGCAAACAAAAGTTATGCAACAGGTCTGATTCTTTTTGAGTGCATGTGTTGACAAAAACGGTCCAAGAGATGCCAAAATGTTTTGCCTTATATTGTCAAAGGCTCTTTCTTCTGGGAGAAACTTTGCAACAGAAATAACACAAGTGTGGACCCCAGAATGTTTCTTCTTTCATTCAAAATAATTTAAAGGTACATAACGCATTATTGTAAAATGTTTATCTATTAAATTCCAAACTAACATTTTAAATGTGTCAATGTGCTTCCTATGATAACGTTTTGAAAAAGTCCCTTGGACTCACACGTTCATTCATTCATTCATACTGTACCAGTACATCACAAAAAGTGCATACTAACTGCACGATAATGCACTGTACTGCAAATAAGACAAACAAATTAACGGACAAATTAGGCAAATGCATACACACAAGCAAATATCCACACAGAGTGGTTTGTATTGAGACATATTGTATATTTATTCATTTTTTTACTGGACCACTGCATCTCTTGACTTACTAAGCAGTTGGAATCATTTTGACTTTATCACAGAAAAAAAAATATTGTACGATCTCAGGAAAACTGGATATGAAAAATAATGAACACCGTTTTCCTTCCAGCTTTCCATACTTTCTATTCTGAGTAAAACAACAATACCCAACATCCTGTCACTTCGGATCCAGCTTCCTGTTATGATGCGGACCTCACAGCTAATGAAGGGTGTATGCCTATCCTGAGGCCCCCTGCCTCAGTGTTGATAATGTTCTCTTAGAATATAAAGAAATCACACAATCAAATCTCAGTGGTGAAAAAGATAACAACCTGCTACATTTAGCATAAATGTACAGGTGACATTACAATCTGAGCTACAAATGTGTTTATGTACTGGGGAACAAGGGGTGAAGTCAAATAAAAGGCTAATTGTTCAGGAATCGCCACTTCGCTATTATTACAGGCATGATTTAATGAGCAATAATCTTGATTTTTAAGAGATAAGGATGTGTCAGGGAGAACTAAAATTCAATTCATTTTTGAAAGATACATTTGTCTAATAATGAGTTAAGCATTTATAAGGCTAAACCATATTTTTATCATGACATATATTCAATTGTGTGACACACATGAGCCCCCTTTGATGCTAAAGCCAGTTGTTTACTGTCATGCTTAAAATATTGGAAGCTAATTGATGCAACAGAAATGTTGAGAGTGGCAATAACCGAGTCACCCAAATGCCCTTAATCTCATCAGCTCATCAATCATTAGATATGCATTGTGATTTGACAACTTGTTTCTGTGCCAGCAGGTCATGTTTGGAGAGATTTTAGTGAAAAATAAAGCTCCCGGAAATATTCATTATCTTAGCAGTAATTATTTATACACATATTTAGCACTTGATCACAGCCAACTCTCTAAGCAGCCTTTTCTCACTTACGTACTTTTTACAGAGGCTTTTCAGCAAACTGTGTGTTTCATATATGTGCATGTTTTTTGCAGGAGACAAGTCTGCATAATTTTAAAAAATAAACCCCAGAGAAGGTGTACACAGAAGCGACTGATGGCTATGTTTCTCTCGCTGCCTCAATCCCCTTACTTTTCTTGTTTTCCTCCAAGGAGCCTGTTTAGCCCGGTAGCTGCTGAGCCCTCTGCTGCGTTATGCAATGTTCCACGAATAAATGGCCCTGAGGTGGTGTGTGAAAACCACATCTCAAGTTGCAGGTGACCTGTTATAGTAAACAATTTCATCAGGGAATTGAAGCCTACAGATGTCAGCAGGTCCCCATATGATAAATACTGCACCATGTACCTAATTATTTGCATCTGTGTGTGTGTGTGTGTGTGTGTGTGTGTGTGTGTGTGTGTGTGTGTGTGTGTGTGTGTGTGTGTGTGTGTGTGTGTGTTATAGGATTCTTGGCTCTTGTTGATTTGTATACTTGTAGGTGATAGAGTGGGAGAGGACTCTTTTTCTGTGTGCGTGTATGTGTGTGTGTGTGTGTGTGTGTGTGTGTGTGTGTGTGTGTGTGTGTGTGCGTGTGTGTGCGTGTGTGTGTGTGCGTGTGTGTGTGTGTGTCACTTTAACACCGTGATTCACATGTTCTTTTTTCAGAGCTAACACATCTCTCCACATCTCCCACCTTCTTTCTTCTAGTGTTGCTATTGCTGTCAGAGGCTTTAGCAGCTCTGGATAAATACATCACGGCTGACCTTTGTTATGTCCCAAACAAACAAGAGTTCCTTCACATTTTTCCACAGCTATGGACAAAATCTGCCGGAATTTAAAAGCGTGACTACTGGATTAATGAAACCTTGAAGGTTACACTTGTCAGCACATTCCCCGATTTAAGTTTCAGCTCAAATTATACAAGATTGTAGCTGAAGTTTGGAAAGGCTTTTTAACAGGGAAAGTTGTAGAGGCTCAAAGGTCAATGAACATATTGTGTGGCAATTTTTACATATTTCTGGCTCCTATTAACAATTTCACACTCAAGCGGGCATGCCATCTTTCCGGTAGATCATTGAAAAGAATATGTTCAAACTGGAACTGATCAACTGGTTTCATTAGCTGCTCCCTGAACCGGAAAAAAGGTTTAAAGGGCTCTGTCTTCGATTAAGAGCTGTAATAGTCATTAACACACAGCATAGGAAGGCAATCTTAAAATTCACTTCTTAGACCCCAGAGAAAAGGCTTGTGGCAAAAACACTTCAGTGAATTAGACCCTTTATCTCATTTGAAGTGAATGAGCACATTTTTTACTGAAGTGGCTCCTGTCCCGGCTTTTTGGTTGATTTGGTTTACTGCCCTTTATGGCCACATCATAGTCAAGAAAACAAGCAGGGCCTTAAACAAATAAGAGCCTGTTTTTGTTTAAAGATATACGGAATAAAAGATATTTGTACGCAATAACAATATTAGCACCATGGCTCAGCAGATGGCATTGTCAGTCTGTTGCTCCGCCTGTTCACTCCAGCATGACATATCTCAATAACTATGACCAACAAGATGTCATGGCGTGAATACAAATATGATTTGTACCCTGTGTTTAGTGATGTCAGCAAATGATAGCATGCTAAACCTCGATAGTCCACGAGGTTACTATTTAACCCTCTAAATATTTATTTAAATATTTTGCTATGTGAGCAAGTTAACATGCTGATGTTAGAATTAATAGTAATGGAAAACCCGCTCAACTCCCTAACAGCACATAACGACTGGGTGCTGAATCCCGAATAAATGTCCGAAACAAAAAAATGATTAGGACAGCTCTCCAAATTGTACTTTTAATTACCACACAGACGAGCAGACGCTTTACTGAAGAAGGGCTTCTGCTCCAAATATACGAGTGGCAATTAAAAGTTCAATTTGGAGTGCTGTCCTTGTCATTTTTCTTGTTTTAATGTTAGTCTAGTATTAACCAGGAAGCAACATTAAGTACTTCTTTAACACCTC